GCTTCAGGGAGGAGTCACTCTTCGCGCTGAACCGCGACGTGTAGAAGTGTTACCTAAATGTGTTGCTTTGTGTCTTTTGAGCGCTTCGGCTACGCGATCATGTAACACCTATAGGATTGTCTTAATCAAGATGTTAGAACTTCCCAAACGGGCTGTTGCCGGGCGTTTATTACTTTGGTAAGTGGACATACCGAACCAAAAGTTAACCTTTGCTCTAACAGCGGAGGGGGGGGGGTTATTGCGACACCCCTTAGGTATTCCGGAGATCACCCCCCCCCCCCCGGCAATCTTGCAATCGTGCGCAAATTTTCGGTAGCTCGTGAGACCATCCATTTCGCATGTTTTTCACATCACAAAAACATATTGCTGGTCTTTTCTTATTCAAGGAAGTGTGGCTCTTTTTAGAAACACTGTACAGCGATCCGCGGGTGGCGCGGGAGGCGGGGCGAATGACGAATCCGCCGGCCGCGTGCGGCGGGACGACCCTGTTACATTAACGGAGCCATACACCAGACGTGCATACTCGAAACCCGGTCAAGTGACATGCCAGTGTACTTAGGATTGACTCAGGAACAGGCCTGTATAGGTTTCGTGCACTTTAAGGCATGGTGACGTACGTATAAGCAAGTGGATCTAAAGAAGGTCGATTTTCAGGAAAATTTGACCTTCCGCCCGGGAAAATGACATGAGCTGTTGACCTAGCAGCACTCAGCTTTCTGCCAGGCGCGCAAATCTGTTGAGAACAACTTACTGGTGATTTCCGCTAGTCGCTATCTTTCTTAGTCCGGAAAAAGCAGAGGTCCCATCGAACCACGTTCTATATGGCAAAGTCGTTGACAGAGAGGGATGGGCAGCTGGATTGTGGAAGTTAAACTTCTACGCCATTGATGATGATAAGAAATAATGTCATGCTTAAAACACTTCCTTGCAGCATTCCATCCGCCTATAAAAAACGATCTGTGAGGTGGTGGCAAACTCTTGCGTAAACAAGACGTTCCGACGAAAACCTCTAAAAAGGTTTCCATGACAACACAAATACGCTGTTTCGAGACCTTCATTAGAAAGCCGCAGCGCCAGGTGGAGTCATAATCCTTTTCAATGTCGAAGAAAATTGTCTCTAAGTGGAGGCGCTCTTTAAACGCAGTGTGTATAACAGTGTCAAGTGATACAAGTTAGTCCTCTGTGCTGCGGTTTGTTCTAAAGGCGTAGTAAATACTGCTCAGAATACTTTTCTGCTCGTAATACTACGGCAATAGGATAGCTGCCACTTTTCCATTTATTTACATGCCAACCACATAAGAGAGATGGGCCTATAATCTCGCTTTGTAAGACTCGTATTGGCATGCGTTTCTAGTCGTGTTCTGTATTTGTATAAGCGCAATGGTCACAGTACATGGGCTTAAAAGACCTTTGGATAGATATAATGGAAAAACGAACATGATAACGTATGTGCTCACCAAGCGCAACATCATACGTCCTGCCTCGTGGAGATGTATATCACAAGATAATGCTATCTTCGCACCTTCGAGATTGGTTTTGGTTCTTGTCAACGAGCATCGTACATTTATCGGGTATCCAGCTACACAATTTACCGACCGAAGTATCGTCATATAAGTCAGATATCACGGGTGTGCAAGCTTTACGAGTGCGCGGCGCCTTCCTTTGTCTTTGAGACCCGTATTGCGATCCTTGATCTCGGCGAATTCCATTCCGCGGTGTATACACCCCGTGTCGGGCCCTCCGCCCGGCGGCCCTCCAAGCCACAATCCCGTCACGGGCTTAGCTGGTTGCTGCCACGCCAGGATGCCGCAAAGGCGGCTTTGCTGGGGACAGACAGTGAAGGCATGTTACATGCAGGATGGCGTTCGAGCACCTCACCTCACTTATGATCTGACCTCACGAGTGACCTCACCTCACGTAGGACCTCGCCTAACCAAGATCTCACCTCACGTATGACCTCACGTGATCGGCTTCGGCGGCGACACCCAGTCCCCGGCAATCGCTGGCCGTGTCGCCTGGCTGCTGCACCGTCCGTCCCGGCCGCTGCCCCGTGCACCCGGCCGCTGCAATGTCCGTACCGGCCGCTGCCCCGTGCACCACGGCCGCTGCTACGTCCGCCCCGTCTGCTGCTCCGTCCGGTTCAGCCGCTGATCTGTCCTACTCGGCCGCCGCCCTGTTCGCCCCGGCCGCTGCTACGTCCGCCCTGGCCGCTGTTACGTCTGCCCCGTCCGCTGCTCCGTCCGCTTCGGCCGCTGCTCCGTCCTACTCGGCCGCCGCCCCTGTCCGCCCTGGCCGCTGCTACATCCGCCCTGGCCGCTGTTACGTCTGCCCCGTCCGCTGCTCCGTCCGCTTCGGCCGCTGCTCCGTCCTACTCGGCCGCCGCCCCTGTCCGCCCTGGCCGCTGCTACATCCGCCCTGGCCGCTGTTACGTCTGCCCCGTCCGCTGCTCCGTCCGCTCCGGTCGCTGCCCCGTTCGCCCGGCCGCTGCTACGCCCATCCCAACCGCTACTACGTCCGCCCTGGGCGCTGCTACGTCCGCCCTGCCCGCTACTCCGTCCTATCCGGCCGCCACCCTACCGCCCCGGCCGCTGCTACGCCCGCCCCCGCACTACGTCCCCCTGGGCGCTGCTACGTCCGCCCTGCCCGCTACTCCGTCCTATCCGGCCGCCACCTACCGCCCCGGCCGCTGCTACGCCCCCCCCGGCCACTGCTACGTCCGCCCTGGCGCCGCTACGTCCGCCCCGTCCGTTGCTCCCGTCGCCGGCCGCTGCCCGTCCGCCCCGTCATGCCCCGTCCGCCCCGTCCGCCCCGTCCGCTCTCCGTCCGCTCTGACCGCCGCCCGTCCGCCCCGTCCGCTGCTCCGTCTGTTCCGACCTCTGCCCCGTCTGCCCCGACCGCTGCCCCGTCTGCCCCGGCCGCTGCCCCGTCTGCCTCGACCGCTGCCCCGTCTGCCCCGGCCGCAGTCTCGTCAGCCGGCGCCGTGTACATCACAGGACACGGGCTGTTGGACGTTGGGGACACGGAATGCTACGTTCCGCTGGCTTTGAACAGACACAAACAGTTTTTGAACGTCGCTCACATACGATCGTTGTTTATTCCGTGCAAGGCATGCCATTCCAAGTGCTGGTAGCCTGTTGGTAGTCCCAACTGTTGGTAGTCCCAACTGCAAAGCAGCCGTCCCAACTGCTGGTAGTCCTTCGGTTACAGCACCTCCGTGCTCTTGTATTGCTTGCTGTACGGATGCAATGAGCGTGTCTAGACGGCTGAAGGGCGGGGAAATCCACTCAGCATCGCACCTAATGCGAAGATAGGATCTCCGCAAGAGGGATATGGTTGCACGAGTTAACCAAATGCCTCCAAAACGGTGAGAGAAACATCGAAGACAGTTGCACTTGCATGACGCAAGGGTTCCCGCAAGTAGCCTGCAGCTTGAGGGGTGTCAGCATGCGCACGCCCCTGCTTCGCGCAGTATTCACAAGGATGGATTTGCTGTGCTTTGATAACTCAAGTATCTACATCTTGCGTTGTTGACATAAGCCATTTATGTGATTTAGTTTCGTACAAGTGCAACTGAAATGTCTATTGTCGCATTTGTGGCGGAAGGAATGGCGCCCCCAAGACATAAGAATGCCTGCATAGCGATCCACTTGCACGTCATATCAGCTTGAATGTCTCACAACCACCTCACGCACACACTCACGTCCAGTGAAGACGTTTTACTTCAACCTTGGATCGTATGCCAGAGCGCTCTATTGCGCAGCACGTGATTTTTTGGTCATATCAAATGACCTTGATGATCGGTCAAGGGTTGAAGCTCGTGGTCAGTCATGACTAGCATGCTTAGCCGCCAGGAAGCTTTAACCATTTGACGTCAACCGCTGGTGAAAACACCAGGGGGTTCAGGAGAAACCGTTTGCAAAACCGTTTGTGTGCTACGTGGAACTGTCTGTTGTCGGGCAGCTGGCGTCGGCTGGGTCGGCGCTGTGCTGAAACGGTGGAGTTGGTATCTCAGTTGTCCGACTTAAATCTGGATCAGATGATCTCCCTCATGGCAGGACACACACACATATATATATATATATATATATATATATATATATATATATGTGTTGTGTGTGTGTCCTGTTATGTGTGTAGATGAATAGTGCATGGTAGATGTGTAGATGAATAGAAATGAGTCTCTATGCTAGTCTTAGCCTGGAGTTGAAGTTCTCAAAACGCCCTGAAGAACAGGACAGGGTGAATCTTGCCGCCTGCCAATTGAAATGGGTCTATGTGTGCTAGCGGTGAGCGCCTCGCGATAGGTCGTTATCGTGCGGCGTTTAATCAGGTGGGCCAATTCGCGGCAGGCCACCAACGCCAGGGTCGAATGCCGTTGAGAGTGTTAGCATCGTGTTCAGAAAGCGGTGCCAGGGCTTCGGACACCAGCAATTAAAGACTCGCGCGGGTTTTGCCCACCACTTGTCCTTGTCTCACGACCCAGTCTTCCCAGAAACTGGCTCGAATTGCAGGCAAGCATGTTCACATGGATGTCGGGAAATGACTGACCACCCTGAGCTACAGATTAGCTGGCACCCTTACCGCTTTGCCGGCCACCAGGGCCGTAGGTCCGTTCTACACAGATGGACGCTACACCCAAGCTGCTCCCCGCAACATCACGTGCCAAGTGCATTTGATCGCATGATTAAGATCGATGACCTGGTTTGATCACACAACGGCAAGTTTTGCGACTTGTCGCAGCTCACGTTCCAGCCAACGCACTGGAATTTCAGAAAACCTTGGCATGGTTGCGAGGCTCTCTGTTGTACCTTCATTGGGTGCTGCTCCTTTGTCGTGGCTGCTGTTGCGCAGTTACGCGATTTGTGGCGCAAACTTATTTCTTAGGTTCGGCTAAAGAGGTTACGCACGAACCGAAGGGTAGTGGATGTGACCGACCCTCTCCCTCCCTAGGTCACTTGTTTGGCCCTTGTGGCCGGCTGGGCGGCGGAACCGACGTGTGCATGCCGCTCCTGGAGTGCAAGGAGCTGCTGGAGGAGGAGCCCATCGTGGACCCGTTCGCGGCCGGACGGCTCTGCACGCTCAAGTGACGGCTCCGTTGGCGTGCTGTGCGGCTCTAGCGGCCTCATCAGCAGGTAAGCTCACGCTGGACTCCACGCGACCACTCTGCGCTCGCGTGATATGCTGCTAGCCTACCTTACTTTACGTGTGTCTAATTGGATAAGACCGGCCACAGGCTGTCCTCTCGGGCCTAGTATGAAAGCCCGAGCTCAGCGTGCATCAAACGAAGAATCCAACGTTTCTTGGAAGAGGTTTGCGCCATGCTCAGTGCCCACGACAAGTCCAGACTTCGGTCATGCCCAGGAGACATGTCACTATCCCCAACAACGTTGCAGCTCTTCCTGCGTAACCAGACTCGTCTCGCCGCTTGACGAGCACGGTTGTTGGTGCACGACACGATGTGTTTTCTGACGAGCACGATGTGTTTTTCACGGGCTGCAGGTTCGGCGGACCGCAGGCGGCGGCGCCCTCTCCGAGCATCTTTTTCCCTGGCGAGATCACCGGCAGCAAGGGCGTGTTTGACTTGCGGCCCCTGAAGAACCGCCTCAAGGACCGACAGGAGCTGGTGATCAGCAACCTTGTGCAGGTACGGCTCGCCGCTGAGGGCTTTTGGTTTATATGCTTCGGCCGTTCTCAAGTCCTGTTCAAAGCTGCCGCCGTCATGAACTACTTGGGCTGTGGATTTTTGCGGCCAGTGGTAAGCGATTCAACTCAGAAATATGCTACGGGGCGCTGGAATGGTCCCCAGCGGTCCACCTTGCATGAGTCGGCTGTACATGTGAAGACAATACAGATCAGATTGGTGCTGGGTGATATGCATTGTTTCTATTAAAACCCTCGAGAGATTTTGAGGCCTTTGCGGTGGCTTTCACACAATGACGCAGGTCTTTTTTCAACGCTAACTTTTCTCTATGCTTTTCAGAAGCTGTCAGTGGTAGCGGAAGCAAAGAAGAGACTAGAGGAGGTGGGGCGGGTGGTGAACCAGCTCGCTCAGAGAGGGGCCAACAGGGCTCGCGCCAGGTCACCAGAGAGCCTGCAGCTGTTGTTCTCGCGACCGCAGTCGAGTGAGGCTGAGCGGTCGGCAGAGGCATCGCTGCAGTCTGTTGAGGTACTGACGAAGCTGAAGGAGATGCGCGCCGTCGGCTCCAAGGCATTCAGCGCCGAGGCACCACTGTTCGGAGTGGGTCTGCAGGAACCGCGCCAACTTCCCCGCCTTCCCCGTTCTCGGCGACGACAAAGATTCCCGGCTGCGAGGTGCCCGCGCGCCCCAACTGTGCCGGATCAGGCAACTTCCGCACCTTCAATGGCGAATGCAACAAACCAGGATGAGCCGCGGCTGGGGCGCGCGCAGACGGCCTTCTCGCGTTTCTTCCCGGCCTGAGTACGAAGACGGCATATTCAAGCCGCGCTCGTCCGGCCTTGGCGGCCCGCTGCCGTCGGCACGGCTTGTCAGTCAGCGCGTGGCGAACACGTCCCCGCGCGACGACAACTTCCCGCACGCTCTCCGTCATGCTGTTTGGCCAGTTCATCAACCACGACATGATTTCAACGGCGGCGTTCACGGTGCCGGGCGGCGGGGGGACTGGCTTGTTGCAACAGTGACAACTCGTTCCCCGATGAGCCGCTGCACCCCATCGGCTGCAACCCGATCCGTGTGCCGGACGACGACCCCTTCTACTCGCAGTTCGGCCGCAAGTGCATGAGCCAGGTGCGCTCGCAACCGGCTCCGTTCGAGGACTGTATCGCCGGTCCGACCAACCAGCTGAACCAGGTGTCGCAGTTCCTGGACTCCTCCAACATCTACGGCAGCAGCAAGGAGCAGGCGGACCGGCTTCGTGCCTTCACCGGTGGCCCTCATCAAGAGCAGCGACGGCAACCTCCTGCCGCAGGTTGGCGGCCGGTTCATCTCGGGTGAGGGCCGCCTAAGCGAGAACCCTGGGCTGGCCTTCATGCACACCATCTGGACACGCGAGCACAACCGCGTGGCAGCGGTGCTGGCGAAGAACCACCGAGACTGGGACGACGAGCGGCTGTTCCAGGAGGCGCGCCGCATTGTCAACGGCGAGTACCAGAACGTCGTCTACAACGAATACCTGCCCACTGTACTTGGCTTCAAGTACACGCGTGATCATGGTCTCGACCCAGCGTTCGGTCACTCCTTTGGCTACACGGGTCAGGTGGACCCGAGCGTTACGTCCGAGTTTTCAACAGCCGCCTTCCGCTTCGGACATTCACAGGTCAGTGCTTCCTCTCGAGCTCGTCTCCCTTCTAGAGGTTCGAGTTTCTGCAAGCCGGATCTGTTCTAGATACTCTCTGGTCATGTGTGCATTTTTGGAGCCCGGTCCGTTTCGGATGTCCCCATTTCAGTGCCCTGTCGCTGTCTGGCCACCGCCATTAGCTTGCTCTTCGGTTTTTATGCCACGGTCATAACCACGGCACCCACCCTTCCTTCAGTATATTTCGCTTTATTAGCAAATAATCACCTACACACGTCGCGTCATCACGGCCGCACATGCTGGCGGAAACGTGCCCATTTTGACCGAACGTCATCCGCTTCCACAGGTACAAGACTTGTTCATCCTACGCAGCGAGACAGGCCGCATCTTGAAGACGCTGGCCATGGAGGACACGTTCTTCCGTCCCGACCTACTCACCGGACCGGGTGTTATGGCGCAATTCGCGCGCGCACTGACGCGCCAGAAGCCGCGCTCGGTCGACAACACCTTCTCCGCCTCTGTGCACGAGAAGCTGTTTGCTCAGGGCGCGCCATCCGGGCTGGATCTGATCGCTCTCAACATCAACCGCGGTCGAGACCACGGCCTGCCGACCTACGTCACGGCGCTGGAGAACTGTCTGGAGCGCTCGCTCGACGGCGAGTGGTCTTCCCTGGCGCCGTTCTTCGATCCGAAAGTGCTGCAGAGCCTGCAATCGGTCTACGACAGCATCTATGACATCGACCTTTTCATCGGTGGTGTGGCCGAGAAGCGAAAGCCCGGTGCATTGGTCGGCGAGGTGTTCCAGTGCATCATCGGCGAGCAGTTCTTCGTCACCCGTTACGGGGACAGGTAAGGAGAAGATGAGAGGCATCCGTGGCTTATGGACTTTGGATTGGATTGTAGTTCGATTCGTGTAGTTAAAGCTACACTGTTTGTCGTAGAGGCTTAAAGCTCATTGGCAGAATTACGCAGTCTGCAATTTTATGTTCTTTTAGAACGAAGCTGCATCTTTGCGCCATCTAAATCGCTTAGAGGCAATGAAGCATGCAACGGATCCGAGGTGTTATCGCCATAGATTAACTTTTGATGGGCGCTTATTCCGCGTGGAACTTAAATCGACTTTTCAGATCCTCATCCCACTACATAAGTGATTTCCCTCAAGGGCCATCGGATCATAGAACCCTGTGCAGACAGATGAGCCGTCAAATGAATTCGCAGTCGCAGCAGCTCCTGACCACTATCGCTCCCGCAGGTTCTTCCACGACAACGGCTGACATGCCCCACAGTCTGTCATTCCGGCAAGTACGCGAGATTCAGCAGTCAAGCTGGGCGCGTATCCTCTGCGACAACATCCAAGGCCTGCAGGCGGTACAGCCGTTGGCGCTGTGGCAACCCTCCGTCTTCTTTAACAGTTTGCGCGACTGCAATTCGTTCGCCATTCCCCGTGCCGATCTCAGCGTGTTCTAGGCGTGCGCACAACCTCCCCCCCCCCCCCCCTCCCCACCACCACCATCACCCAGCTCCATCGCCGGGTGGGTGCTGTCGGCGCCCCGGGTTTTCGTCTTGCTGCGCGACGTTGTGAGCTATGGCAAGTTCTCACAGCTTGGTGAATGCCGCGAGAGCCGTGGAGGAAGAGGGGCTGACAGTATGGGCGACTACTGACAGCTTAACGCTTGCGTTGCCTTCAACTTTATAAGCACATACCCGTCTGATGAATCTGCCATCACTGCAGCTGACCGGTTTTATCGAGGTCGCACCTTGTGACCCATTGGTCACTTGTATGTGATGTAATCGTGGAAATTGTGTGACATTCGTGACCAGGAGCTACCCATATCAACGACACCGTGGATAACGCACTGTTCGGCTAGCGCTCCCGCTAGCTAGCGCTAGCGCTTGTGTGCTCCTTCAGGGAGACCGCCTCTACGCCAGTGATTGGGTCGGGGAGCCGATTCCGTGAGCTCTGTTAATGAACGTGACGTAATCGCTGCCATATCAGTGTGTCAATTCAGGTGATCCGCTGCTGTCAGTTTCACGGACCTTGCGCGCGTCTTGTGTGAACCATGCTGCATGGCGAGGGGTAGGAGTCGTTCATAGTGGGGACGTAACCCTCCCTGGGCGACGAAGTTGCGGTGGTTTTTGCTTAAGAGCGCATCGTTTCGCAGAGCGCAGTTCCCCGGCACACTGACTTGAATGTTTTGGTGAGATACATGCGCTTTGACTATGTCTGTGAATGCAATCAAGGGTGCACGCAATCGTACGGCATCAGTGGTAACTGGTGTCGGTTTGTATTTTTTTGTGGGGGCCTTAGCCCCCCAATGTTGAGTTGAGTCCTCCCAGTGTTGGCTTGGATCCCTCAATATATTTGACTGGACCGCTGCAAAAAACGTAGGTAAGGGATGACCACAACAAAAAGGCTACCTTATTTAATGTTTCTGCGTAGCGGCGTCTCGTACTACTCTCATAACGTAAAGCCATGGATGTTCTCGCCGCCAGATACAAATCGTAACAGCTGAGTGGAAAAATGATGCAATAAACTTCACATACCCAGGGTCTAGACACGCGTTGGTTTGTAAGGTTAAAATGAAAAGCTCTGGAATGTGGATGTCCTAATTCTTTCATGGCTAACCCCGTCCTCGTCCCCCACAACCAAAATACGAGCCGCCTCTCAAGGGCGCCATCGGCACCCTAAGGTGGCCTCTAAAGGGACGCCTTCACTTTCCGATTAGGAGCGATGCGTGTGGTCCAGTGCCGGCTCCCTGAATCCACTCCTGAATGACTTCTATGCTGCTTAAATTAAAGACTTATAAACTATGCAAAGAATAGCAGCAGATATTTCCTTTCACCACAATGAAGTAGGCTAAACCGGTGAGAAAAAGATGGGGGGATGGTAGGCTGTCAAGCTTTCGGCTTCGCCGCCTCTTCCCCCCCCCCCCCCCCCAATAATTTAAAAATCGATGCCCCTGTCAATGGTCATCTATGGAAGTAAACAGGTAGCGTTCATAACTTGATTTTCGAGGTCTTAATGAACGTCGCACCACAACATAAACGGGCCCTTGCCAAAAGAGAACCTGACATCCAGACCGTGCTATGTGAGCCTTCCGTAACTGTCGAGAACAGGCTGGGCAAAGTGACCACCAAAGCGCATGCGCACAGCTGACGTCAAGTACCGAACAGAGGGAATGGTCTCGTAAGAAAAAGGGGCGTTGCATTTATAACATCAGCAACATCAGCAGGGCCAAAGATTGTGTCAGTGCCAGCAAGGCCAAAGAAAGACGGGTTGTGAAATACCTTGACTGTGCCCTTGACGGCCGCAGCACCCGCACGATCTCCCACTAGAGCAGAAGGATGCGCAGGTGAAGGTTGTGCAGCATGGGCTCTATCATTGCGAGTCTAGCTGCCAATAATTCTTGGACTCAGTGATCATTGTTGCGGAGATATTAGTTCATCTCTATGACCAAAAGTGAAAGCAAGAGTGGAAGGGGTCGGCGAGGGATCCCAATTCGTCCCAGACTCGGGGGCGTTCGTTGGATGGCCATGTGTATGCACAGCTTTCTTCAAGAGAGTCGGCATCATCAACGTCGGCTTTGCTCCTAGCGGTGAAACAATCAACTCCACAAGGTACGCGCCGGCACTGAAGATGGTGAGGGCCGGGACTGAACACAGTCATCTGAGCGAGGCTACATATTCTAGCTAAGCCTGTCCACACCAGGCAGCGTCCATCCCACACGTTACATGAGGCAACGATGTTTGTTTCAGGGAACGTGGGGCATTCACGACCGGGCAGCCACCCTCTTCGCCTGGCCTGACCCCTGCTTACTTCTTCCTGTTCCTGAAACTCAAGAAGTAAATGGATGGAAAGCGTTACTTGACGCGGAGGGGCTGGAGCAGTACCTCATGTACCTCATTCTCGAGGGTGCCGGTAAGAAGAGCTCGGCGCGGCGCAGAGAACATGGATGCAATAGCTTCGTATCGCGTGCGCCTTGGTAGTGAATTCTGTAGAGGCTACCGTGTGAAGTTGTGGAAACGCTTTAAGAAATTAGCTGATGTGCTTGGCGGACCGCTCGTAAAATTTTCATACCTAAGTTGTTCAGTGCATTAGCGGGGAATACATAACTGCATTCATCTCTTCTGCTAGTGTTTCGATGAAGGCATGTTTCCGAAATATCAACCCAACTATATCTCCATTATCCTGGTTTGTCTCCAAGAAATAAGGCTAATACTACGGTCTGATCTAAGTGAATTTTGATACCGGTTAGTATCCACGAAAATCGGCTTACGCCTCCCGTGTGTTGTATGTCAAGGCCATTTCTAGCCAGACCTTGGCAGCCACGCCGGATTATAAAAGCGTATCCCGCAAAGGCACGCTACTATCTGCATCGCTTGGTAGTAGGGAACTGCTGCATCTTCCTTCTGTGTGGCAACCAGACAAGCGACAGGCAGCGGTAGAACATGCTCAAATGCCGCGGGAAAGGACCCCGAATGCATCAAAGGGCATTGATCAGTTGGAATAGCCTTAATCCTAGCGCTCAGGAAGGCCTGTTTAAGGAATCGGCAAGATTCGCCTTTAGCCGCTTATGACGCGCCAATAAAAAAGACAGAAACAAACAGATCAGGGCCGCGTGGGGGCTGCCGCTTATTTTGCCAAGATCCGTGAACCAGACAACATCTACCACGAATCGGTTGCCTGCGGGATCAATGACGACTGTATTTTGCTGTCGCGTGCCATTGGCGCAAGCATTTCTTTGCAGGCCAGGGCTGTCCTGTGAGCAAACGTAGGACTTAACGCTCACTTATTGCATGTCTGATATGAATTCTGTTATCTTCTGATTGCGGAACATCATCTTCAATTGTAGCTTCAGGCTGCGGCGCGGCCAGCTAATAATTTCGATAAGTCGTTGGTCATCGGTGTTTTCGACCTTCATAAATTTCAAGCAAAGCATTCCTTCATTGTTGTATAAATGCTGTGCGAAGCCATCGTGACCAGGCCTATGGAAACCCCGCATAAGCTGTGACGCTCTGTGCCAGCTAGAAACTTCTAAGACGCTGCGGTACCCTCGCGGTTGTTAAAGGTTTCCCATATACAGACACGGCGCAGCCAATTGTGTTCAGAATCGGGCTCCTGGGGGATCTTTGCACTTCTGTGGACAACAGTGAGCATCGCTGTCTTATGTTGAGCCTCTCGGATGTCTCTAGCTCTATCGCATCGCTGTTTTTTCTGCAGCGGATGAGTAGTCTGTCCTGCAGCAGGGCGGGCTAATCCGGCACGAACAATCCACAGCCAGCGAGCTAGAAGACCGATGGTTTGGGGTCTGACGGAGCGCTTGGTCAAACGCGGTGTCAGGGTCGACAGGGCTAGAGGAACGATGGCTCGGTCTGGCGGAACGCTCGGTCAGGCGCGGTGCGGTGTCAGGCTCGACGGAGCTAGAGGAACGATGCCTGTGGATCTGGCGGGGCGCTCGGTCAGGCGCGATGTCAGGTCGACAGAGCTGGCTACTTCATCAATGAATACGCGGAGACTGTGGGACTTACGGTGGTCTACGACAGGAGCGTGACTGGTGGTAGCCCTGAAACGACAGGAGCGTGACTGGTGGCAGCCCTGAAACGACAGGAGCGTGACTGGTGGCAGCCCGGAAACGACAGGAGCGTGACTGGTGGCAGCCCGGAAACGACAGGAGCGTGACTGGGGGTAGCCCGGAAACGACAGGAGCGTGACTGGTGGTAGCCCTGAAACGACAGGAGCGTGACTGGTGGCAGCCCGGAAACGACAGGAGCGTGACTGGGGGTAGCCCGGAAACGCTTTCAGTGTGCCAAAACACCCTCTTATTTTTTATATTGCCAGAAGCACTTTCATTTTCGAAAAGAAAACATCAGCCATAAGCAAACGGATCGAGGCCGTGTTCGGAAGCGCTTGTCATCAAGCGTTCCCTCTATCGAGTTCGAGGACAAGACAGTGTCAGTGGCCGCGTCCTGATCGGGGTCAGAGCTGAAAAAAATGGCCTCGCCCTTTTTTACACTTCACGCCCACGGCGGATAAGCGTCAAACCAAATAACCCAAACGCTGGATGTGCGCGATTTAGCAAACGATATGAAAACGAGAAATGACGATTAGAAAAGCCCCTTGCCGACGCCGCAAGATCATACAGCAGCAAACGCATCAGTTCCATCTCCGGTTCCACGGTATCTGTTGATCGCGGTCACCGAGCGCTCTTCATAAAACGGGTCCAGGGACAGTAAGCCATGTTTAAACAGCCGCAGTTTCCAGAGCCTGAGTTCTCTGCAACGAGGCTGGGGCCGGCCCGGGCGCGACGGCCGCGGCCCAATCCAGCACACGTGCATCGCTGCATGTTCCGCACGTCGTGCAGGCGCCTGCACTGACGAGCATGCGCTAAAAAACGGCAAACATTTACACAAATCTACGGTGAAGCGAACACCCGACTGCATAAACACGAGGAGGCCAGCGGCCGGCC